CTCCAAGGACCAGTCCCTCCTTGCAACATGCCCAAAGTATGTCAGACGAAGCTTCAGAATCCTTGCCTCCAAGGAGCATTCCGGCTTCACCTTCTCCAAGACAAAGTTGTTTGTTCTCCTAGTAGTCCGTGGTCTATTCAACACTCCTCTCCAGCACTGTTAAGTCAGTGACAGCTCATCGCCACCCTACGAAGAGCAGATCTAAACCTTCACTGTCCTCACAATCTCTCGTGCTCATGCCCGTCATGGTAGTATGGTAGTCACTGTGCCAGTCTATCTCATTGGGAATCTTCCTCTCTCTCTGATCCTCTACCTTTCCCAGCCTGCTGTCTTTTCCCGAGGATCGCTCCCTCCTGAAAGCATGTCAGCATCCTCACCACTAAAGAGGGTTGCATGTCCTCCCAGGCACATTTGAGTTTGCTTTTGTGCAGTTCCGGGGATAGTCAGCGTTCTTCCTCAGCACCACATTTCAAAGACATCAACTCTTCTTTGCTCTTCCTTATTTACTGTCCACCTTTCAGATGCATAGGAGGCAACTGAAAGTACCGTGGACTGGCTCGGCACACTTCAAATCGACACACTTGCTCAAGATGTCCATAAAACTATTTATAGACATTTTTCAAAATCTACACGAAATTTCACTTTCATGTAGGCTTTTTATAAGTCACAACATATTAGTCTTCATTGGATGTTTTAAAAACATTTTTTCAATTCAAAAGCCATTCTCAGACAGCAAGCCATCTGGGCCAGGACTCTAGTTTCTCAACTCCTAGTTTAAAAAGAAAATCTTGTTGCAAAAGAGTTCATGCTTGCTCTTACAAAGAGAGCAAAAGTAGGAGCAAGCTACCATATTTTATCATGTAAGAGTACTCAGAAATTACCACTAACGAGCAGTTTGATCAAAAATTCTACAGAAGAATTTTTATCAAAAGATTGCTAAATATGTGGAACAGAGTTTCCTATTATAAACAGAACACAGACTTTCTGGAGCCATTGAGACTAAATGAACCCCCTAAACTATTGCTTTTCAAGGTTAAAAAAAATTAGCTATTTAATGCTTTTTAAGGTCTAAAGGCAACTTTTAAACCTTAAACCAAATCTGTTCTCTGAAGTCTTCCTTCAATAACAATGAAAGAGAGCTTATTATCTAATTAGTAAAATGTCTCTGCTGTGAACATTGTGCGTTTTAAAAAAATTAACTATATGAGATCAAAATAACAATACCAATTTTAAAAATGTTGGAAGGACAGTAAGTTTAAAGTAATAGTAGTGGAATAATTGGGAAAAGAATAGAGAGAAAGATATAATTAATGGTTGTGAATTATAACCCATTACTTATCAATGATTTGGAGAAAGTGCAGCCAGAATGCACATTGATAGCAAAGATGGTGAAACTTTGTCTCAAATGTTTCTAAGAGAGGCTGTTCCTTGTAAAGGGACGTCATGCTTGGAAATGTGGAAGGTCAGAAAAAGAGAGAAAGTCCCTCAATGAAATGGATTGGTCCAGTTACTGCAATAGTGTGATCAAGTGTGTAAGAGATGATGAGAATGACACGGGATAGCACTGGGTTCAGATCTCTTGTTCATAGGGTGGCTATGAGTTGAACTTGACTGCTACCCAACAGCAACAAATCATTCGGGGAGCTCTGGTGGATTAGTCAATAGGCTATTCTGCCGCCAATCCAGAAGCAGCCGTTTTGAATCAAAATCGACTAGATAGATGGACCAGCTCTTCCTGAGCGATTTACAGCCTCTGAAAAGCCACTGGAGCATCAGCTATGAGTTCATTCCAACTTGATGGCAATGAGGTTTTGACCATCGGGGAGCTCTGGTGGCCTAGTGGTAAGAAGATACACTACAGTCCAAAGGTTTGAACCCACCAGCTGTTCTGTGGGGGAAGGATGGGTAATCTCCTCCAATGTAATTAACTGCCTCTGAAAACCCACTGGAGGGTCAGACACAAATCCGTTCTGACTCGACGGCAAACAACAACAGTTACAGTAGGTGGTGGTGGTGGTGGTTGTTGATTGCCTTCAAGCCTAGTGTGACTCATAGCGACCCTTTGAACAAAAGGCATGAAACCCCTCTACCTATGGTAGGTAGTGAGTATTGTACTGAACTACTAACAAAAAGACCAGAAGTTCCACTTTACAAGTGCTCCACAGGAAAAACATGAGCGAGGGAAATGGTGAGAAGTCTCTTCCCATTCAAGAGCTACCCCCTCGGCAAGCCAGAGTGCCCTCTGACCGCAGACTGGAGTCCCAGACAACTCCAGAGGACAAAGGAAAACTGTCCTATAGGGTTGCCAAGGCTGTATGTCTTGGTGGAAGCAGATTTTTCCTGCTATTCCCCCACAAAGCCCCAGGTGGGTTCAAATTGCCAACTTCTCGGTTAGCAGCCTAATGCCTTGAACATTGTATCACCAAGGCTCTTCTCACTGAATTACATATTCATGAATAGTTGAGATGGTGTAAGAATTTACCATTGTTATTGTTGGGCATTGCTATCAAGTCAGAACGAACTCATAGCTGCCACTCCAGCGGCTGTTTTCCAGAATCTACATCACATGAGAAGAGATTGTTTATCTCTTCTTTCTCCCAAAGAGCAGCTGGTGGATTCAAAGTGCTCACTTTTGGGTTGGAAGTGCAGCTCTCTATCCACTAGGCCAGCAGAGCTCCCGAGTAATAAACACCTTCCCCAGTTATTTGTTTCTGCACCTCTGATTTCCCAATTTTAGAGTGAAATGTACAAGAGGATTTCTGTGCTGCTTTTTGCCTGTGTTTTAATTTAAAATAAATTTTCAAAATCTTTTGTGAACACATATCATCTGCTAAAAATATACTCCTGAAGTACATAAAGAATAAAAAATGCATTTTTTTCTTTAAGTAATTTAAACATTGACCTGAATTTGTTCAAAAGCATTATAATTTCAAGATTTGGTTCCTTTTCAGATCTGGGATTTAGATGATCCTTAGGTTGGCCGCTAATATCATACCCAACAACAACCACAACGTATTAATACAGTTTTAATATAGTATCCCGTTCAGTGTTACCCCACCACCGCCATCCCCACAAGCATGTCTTTCTGTGGCGTGTTCTTCCCCCAATCCTAGTTCCAATTAGTTCATCGTCTGTCGTTTCTATTTTCTTGATTGTCTACCTTTTATTCCTTGTTCTTTTTAATTGTGGTCAATATATACATAACAAAATAGTTGCTATTTCAGTCCTCTTCACATGCGTGATTCCGTGACATTTGCATCACCATTATGCATTTCCCAATCACCCCTAAAATCCTGTGTCCCTGTTCCTCCTCCTCATGTTACAGTAAACTTTGGCCTCTCCACCCCTCCCTGATCCAGGTTTCTCATGTAAACCCAGTCACACAGTATTTGCCCTTTTATGTCTTAGTTCACTCAGCAAATATACTTTGACGTTTCATCCATGAATTGAGATTGCATGGCTCCCTCTGGCTGAGCCGTATTCCGCTGAATGGATGTACCACATTTGACTTAACCTCTCATCTATTTTTGATTGTGTTTTATACAATCTTTCTTTTACGTTGTTTCGTACAACCATTCATATACATGGTATTTTATGCAATTAATTACTATTGATCAATGATTGTTATTACCCCATGTTTTCAGGACTCTATTGGATTTTCCCTATTCCTCACACACCAGCCAAATCTACCCACTAACTTCTGCTGTCCTGGTGACTTCCACCCTCCACCTTGTTCCACTCCCTGCCCCTTTTGAAACTTTACAACATATCTTGAACAGTTATCCTTGTATTTTTTTTCTACTAGTGTATTTACAAAATTCAAATACAAATTTGAACAAATTCTTTCCATTTCCCCCACCCATCAAATTTTACAACCCAATGATTAATCCCCTCTTCCCTCTGTACATCCACATCCCTCTGCTTCCAGCCTCTCCCACCCCTCCTGGTTCCTTATACTCCTACAATAACAGTCTTATACAATATTTATCCTTATGTAATTGAGTTAGTTCACTCAGCATAATGCTCTCCAGTCCCTCCCAAGTTAGGTAATAATTTACAAAGTTATTACTCCAGCATGCTGCATAGTATTCCGTTGTATGAATCTTTCAATCCATTCGTTTTGTGATTGGACCTTTGGGCTGTTTCCATGTTCTTGCAATGGTGAATAATGCTGCTATGACAATATATACAAATCTCAGTTTGTGCCTCAGTTCTTATATTCTCAGGGTCTATTCCAAGTAGTGGAATAGCTGGGTCATATGGAATTTCTATGTTCAGCTTTTTGAGGAAGCGCCAAAGTGCCTTCCGGAATGGTTGCACCATTGTACAATCCCACCAACAATGTATGAGTTCCTTTCTCGCCACATGCTTTCCGGCATCTATTACTTGCTGCCCTGTTAAACTTTGCCACTGTTACTGGAGTGAAATGGTACCTCATTCTGGTTTTGATTTGCATCTCTCTTACTGCCAGTGATTTTTGTAATAATGGTCTTTGCTGCCTTTTGGCTACTGTGATGAGTACTGTGATGAACTGTGTGTCTCTTTCTCCGATCTCTCCTCCCAGGCGATGAATCCAGTGGCTCAGGGAGTGGCAGTGGGTGCATGGATGACGTGTGTCCTACGGAGTTTGAGTTTGTCACCACCGAGGCTCCAGCAGTGGATTCTGACCGGAGGGAAGTGGACTCTTCTGCAGGCCAGCTCAGCTCCTCCCTGCTCTCCTGGTCCCTCCTCGGCGTGGTCCTGGCACTGCAGAGACTGTGCAGATAATCCTGGGTGTGTGGTGCAAGAACACTGCATTTTAGCTATTTGAACAGCCAACTTCCTTCTTTTGTTACACTATTGGACAGTGGACCATGCCTCAAAAACCTGCCGTTTTCTATGAGAAGAGAGCAGAACAGCAACTGGCCTCCCTTTTTGTTCTCCCAAAGAGTTCCGGGTACCAGACCCAACTGCTTCCTCTGTCCGTCAGCTGTCCGTGGGGACCTTGTTTATTCTAGAGAGAATTCTTACTCAAATCTTTCGTACCAGGAGATTTTTCTTACCTTCATTTGCTTTTATGCTGCAGAAGTAATCTCATGTTGTGAGGTGTTTGGGTTTTTTTTTTCCCTGTCCCCATTTTAAAAAAAAAGAAATATAAGGGGTGGGGGGGAAGAATAATCATTCTTCTTATGAAATCAGGCCAAACCCCAAGATAACTACATTTGCAACAAACAAGCAAACAAGAGGGAAAAAAATGAAAGAACTTGAACACTATAAATTTGGCGTTGACAGTCAGCTCCCAGTGTAGGCATCTCTGTGACAAATGCTTATGTGCACAAAATGCTTATGGGGAGAGAAGTTTGGATTTGTTATTTATTTGTAATATTTCTTTTAGCAATGTAATGAAGCGACCATGTTGTCTTGGAGGTACTGTTTTGTACTCTAACTACACAATACCAAATTGATTTGGAGGTACTGATAACTAAACTTAAGAATTTCATCTTTGATACGAGAGAAAAACAAAAAAATACCGCCCCTCAGCACCTCTCTCTCACCCAGCCCAGTTGCAGTTTCAGTAATGGCACTGTTTTTTCTTAATCCTGGAATGTCTGATCATCTATCCACCAGACACAGATTTTTTCTCCCCCTTCATCTTCGGTTGACAGTGGACATACCTTTCAATTCATCCCCCTTGAGGGTCTGAACCGAACAGCCATCTTCAGTGATACAATCAATGTCTTTGCTTTTGTCACGGGTTTGAGATAAACTAGATATTTCTGAGCCTGTGCTCATTACCCTCCCCACATCATGGTTGATTAGACTAACTGATCAACAGTTAGATCCATAACAAGAGTTTTCCTTTTTAAATCCTTGCTTTGAGTCAGTTGGTTGACATATCACAAGGGCATTCTCTTTCACAGTAACTCACAACAATAAAAAAAAATCAAGAAAAAATTATATATATATATATATATAGTATTGACATGGAGATTTCTTTCACTTTTTTAGTCTTAGTATGATCATCTATTTTTATATCTATATATATATAAATCACAGATTTTAACTTCTTAATTCCAAGCTCAGGGTTGACACACCTTTGTAAGAAAAAAAATGTTTTGTCAACCAACTCTTCTTGTTTTGTGCTGCTCAGAGAAGACATTCCTCCGTGATCTGTGAGCACCAAGAATCAAGAAAGAGAACTTTTTACGTATCTAACTGTCCATTTATGAGAAGTTTGCCAGGGCACACCCAGGTTCGCATGTGTGTGCTGCAGCCTGGATTCTCCAGACCGTGTGTGCCCATGGAGAGAGCCACGGTGGGCAGGACTTTCCTGGTGATGAAAATTGTGCACGTGAAGAATGTGTTACCCACTCAAAACCATTGCTTTCATGTACGCCGCCTTCAGCCCTGTAGTCCGGTGTGGCACTGGAGTCAGTGACTGACTCAGAGGCCAATTTGGAGCCACAGCCTAATCCGTACATGTGCCAATGCCAAGTTCAACGCTCCCCAACAGAGAAACAAAACAAACCAAGCTGGGGCTTTTTGAATGCAGTTAGCTATCCATGTGTTTCTTGGTTTTCATGATGCATCTGGAGTTGGGAAAACGTAATATTTCAAGACAACGTAGCATGCTAGTCACATTTTAATTAACCCATTGACAGTAATGACACGTAAATGGTATTTTCGATTTCTGTTCTCATAAAAATTATAATTAGTTATTGATTTAGTCATCGCATTTAAGTAGAACACATGCGGCACCATAGTATTAAGTATATTTGAGCACTTTTACAGAACAGAAAGTATTTACAAGCATCTATTGCTGTTTTATGCCTAAAGAAATATGAAGTGTAGGATTCTGAATGACTTTGTGGCATCCTGTCCTTTAAATCTGTGTGAAATTAACACTTTCTTTCATTTAGCATCACATGCGTTAAAGGAAACTAGACATTTCACGGCCAAACTTTAGCTTCCTGTCACCCATGACATATCACAATGACATCTTGACGCAGAGCCATGTATTCATGTTACTAATGGCATTGTATGTTCCAAACTCATTACTGTCTTTCTCCAAATAATTAAGGTGCAATACAAATTAAACCATCCTTGATTTTCCAGAATGTTTAAGTAACAGCTTCTTAAGGCTTTAAATGACAAGTCCTTGTTCCTGTTATTATTGGGATTCCCCCCCCCCTTTCTTCACTATATTCTGTGAAATGGATCACGATGCCTTTCCCACCCTCATGCTTTTACCCCCAAAGGGTTTGTGCATCTGTATGATTGCACATTATTCAATGAATGTGAATCCATTCTGTACACACTAAACATGTAGGTAATATTCAAACACCTGCTTCCTTTGTTTCAATGCCTTCGTTATCAATATTATTTGTACTGGTGAGACATAGCAATCCATATCAGCCGGGCAGAGAGAGATGAAACGACTTTCAATAATGATGCCACAATATTAGTCACCATGTATAGATGTGGTCAAAACATTATTCACATTGTCCTTCCTGGTGTTTTATTCTAGTAACCATCATTCCAGTATGGCATATGATTTTTCAGACTAATTTAACGTGAGGATTTTTTTTATATCCCTAACAGAATTTGGTTTAATTTAGTTACCCCATCTCAGTGTCTTGAACTCCCCTTTCCTGGTGTTGTAGTGTATTGGACTGCTAACCAAATGGTCAGAGGTTCGAATCCACCAGCAACTCCAAGGGCGAAAGATAGACATTCTTCTCTTGCAAAGCTTTATTTACAGACTTAGAAACCCAATGGAGGACCTCTGCGAGTCAGAAATGACTCAACAACAGTAGGTTGGGTTTTTTCCTCCCAAATTAATTTCTCTCCATCCAAGTAGCCAAATGATAGAGATGAAAAGATGTACCTGCATCTGTTCTTTTCCCTGACCTGCCCCCCTTGGTTCTGAGGTCCCCTAGACCCCATGATCACCTCTGTTATGAGTAGAGAGAGATGGGCTCACTGGAATCGAATGCTAGAAATTGGTGGATGATGCTCATAACTGCAAACACTTAGCTTATTGAAGTGCCTCTATTTACATGTTCTTTAGTTATAATATGTATTTTTCTAACAGAAATACACGTCTGTAATTGGTGTATATTATACTTTGTATATGTTATAACAAACACTAAACAGAGGCTAAACGTCTTTAGCAGAGAAGAATGAATTGCAAATTTGAGAATTGGAACTCATCTGTGCTTCTGTGTTGAAGGGTAGCCGTGACCACTATCTGTCACTCTAATGAAAGTCAAGTTGGTACCTTGATTCTAGCCACTGTAGAACATTAGCACTAACTATCTGACTCCCTCACAGTAACTTACCCACCTAGGATAAGTAACTTGTGTCACCTGCTTTAAATCCAAGGGATGGAAAATACTGTTCTGTCTACACAGAAAACTCCTATTATTCATTGACCATCAGTAGTAACTATACAAATAACATCCTTTAAATCAAGCATATTGAAAATACCATTGGAAGTAGAGCCCTAGTATTTTGTTTCTAAAATATTTTCAGGACAATTTTCTACTTTCTTTTTCCTGCTGCAGACATTAGCCTATGTTAATTCTTTCGCCATTACATTCTTGTTTTGGCTCCAGGCTGAACATCAACTAGCGTCCCCAAGGAGAAATAAAAAATTAGTGAATTCTTGAGTTGTGATGCTTTAGCTACTTCTCTTTGCAAGGCTAATTATCAGGGGGTTTGTCTAGGGGCAGAAGTGCTGGCAAACATGAATTTTGACTTTTATAAAATTTGCAGAAATACAAACTGATTTTCACTTGCTAATCATCACTAATAGACCTTTCAGCTTAAAACAAAACAAAACAACAACAACGGAAAAGGCGGTTTGGCTTTGCCAACAGAAGAGAAAAGGATACTGTAACTTGTAAATTTGCAATGTATTCTGCCTTGTTGGAGACACTAGCCAGTGTTTAGTTCTAGGCCAAGTTATACAAATAGAGTATTGATTTGTATGCATTCTGGAGCCTTGCTGTATGATGGTTTGCTACAACACTGGTACTCAGCTTAGCAGAGGCCCTTCTGAACCTCATTCAAGGTTGAGTCGTTACTGGAATTTTTTACATTGCCTGATAATGAGGTACTTCCATGGAAAGATACTTAAAAACCACACAGTAGTGAGGTTTCTATGTGCATATACATAATCTATATGCAGAATAAATGTGTGCACCAATCAATCCTTTGTGACTGTCAAATGAATATCATTTGGGTTAAGATTTTTTTTTTCATTTCTGATTTGGATAGAAAATTGCTATTAATCTTGTATTAAAATAGTTTTTAAAAATCAACCTTTCTGCATCTTCTTAATATTTGTCAGAGTTTAAATTTCAGATATTTTGATATTTTTTTTTGTTTGCAACAACAACCACCTTTGTAGAAAACGCATTATTAAAATACAATTACGGACGACACAATGGTTGAGGCCAATATAGCTTGCCTTAGTACACCCAACATTTGACATCTTAAACTTTTAGAACTTTAGATCATTATATGTGTTAGATACACTTTGCCCACCACCACTCACAGCGACCCTAAACAAGAGGTGGAAACATTGCCCGATCTCACTCCATCCTCATGATCTTAATCTTGGTCCAGTCCATAATTAGTCACAGTGTCAATCCATCCCACTGATTTGGTAAGACTATCAAGAGCTTATCACATGTATAGAAAAATGTCATGCCTCTCCTCTATATTATTTTGTTCTTGGATTCCAAAGCTTCATCTGACATGCTTTGGGCATGTTGCAAAGAGGGACCAGTCCTTGAAGAGGGACATTATGCTTGGGAGGGTGGAGGGACAAGGTAAGAGAAGAAGACCCTCGATGAGATGGATTGACTCAGTGACTGGGATAATGAGAGTAGGTGTGTCAGAGACAATAAGGTTGGCTCAGGCTAGAGCAGGGTTCAGAGCTGTTGTAGTAGGATGAGTCGCAGGTAATTTGACAGCATATAACAACAACATCAAAGGTAAAATTTAGGTGCCTGAGAATTCGTGTCAAGACTTTTAAATGAAGTCAGAAAAAGTATGAAAGCACACTATCCACCTTTGGCAAATTGTATTGATTTTTAGAATTCTGAAAGACTTCCATGTTGTCAGGCATGCTAAATATTGCATTCAATGTGAAAGATTCATTGGCAAATGCTTACTGAACCCCTAACCAGTTGTCACCAAGTTCACCAACTCATGTTGGCCTCATCAATGCCATGGTAGAAGTCGGGTCCCTAAGATTTGGAAGCAGGAGTGGCATCTACTTCTGAAACAGCTTGCCTCCTGAAACTCTACGAATGGTGCTCAGGTCTTCCATTCATAGGGTCGCTATGA